GAGGCCCAAGGACTTCAGCCATCCCCTGCTGCTTCCCCAGGCTGTAATAAGCAAGGAACTGGATCAGAAAGTAGAGGAGCTGCTACGTGAACCAGCCCCCATGTGGAGTGCTGATGTTGCAGGTGGAGGCTTAACCTATTACATCGTGACACCAGCCCTAGTTCCCATTCTTTATGCCTGCCTAGAATATTATTTTCTCATCATGGCTGTAGCTCTCGAATTCAGTTCTGCTTTTTGGAGTCTATCCACAAAAAAATAAATAAGTAAGTAAGTAAATAAATGACAATTAGTCCATCAAGAAGTGATTCTTAGAAGCTTTGAGATTTAAAAAAAAAAATCCCTTGCCTATCAATCTTAAAAATCAGAGTAATGGAAAAGTCTATTAAGTTCTCTAGAGAAATAATTTGAATTTATTAATGTTGGGTTTTACCCTTTATTCTATTCTGCAATCTAAAATGTGCTAATCCTTTATTATAACAGAACCTTGCTCACTGTGTCTGGTTCCAGGGCCTTGGTCACCTTTGCTGGATGAAAGGCATTCCCACGATATTTTAAAAGCTTTCTTGTCTTTCCAAAGGTCACTCTATTTATTCTGTCCTACTTTATGCCAGTCATGTGGCAGAATTCAGGGCTGCCCTGTGAATCAGCTTTGTTACAAATCATGAGATAACGGCTGCTGCTCCACTTACCACTGCTGCTTTTCTAAGTGGGCAGGCAGCCTTTCATGTCTGTTCAGACTTAGCATTTGCTTTGCACCTGACTTAGGGAACAAGCTTGTAATTAAAATTAACAATTGTTTCTTTTTTTTCCCACATTTTATTATTATTGCTATCATTTTACCATACAGTTCCATATTTCCCTATTCCCTCCCCAATTCCCTCCCCCCCCCAGTTCCTTTATATCATTATTAACATATAGTTCTTCATATTCAGTCATATGTTCATCATTGCGGGCATGGACAATGGCAGAGAGTCCAGAATCCTATTGTCAAAATATAATATAAACAGATTCACTGTAAGTCCATCTTTGTCTGGAAACAGAAATGCATACCACACTGCATCCTCACATCTGGTTGTTAGTCTCCATTTCACAGCTACTGCACATCTCCTTAAATGAAAAGTCATAATAAAAAAATCAACAATAAAAAGAAAAATAGAAATTTACAATGCCATGAAGTTAAATGCCATGTTACTAGATATGACAGTCTCCATTGCACAACCACTATACCTTCCCTTAAATGAAGAGCCACAAAACAAAATCAACATCCGAGAGAAAAAAAGAAAATAACAACATCAAAAAGTAAACAACATGCTATTAAATGTCCAACGTGTAGCTGAAGAAGTGAAAATCATGAACCTTCTTGAAGAAAATGATGCCACTATATGATCTACGAGTCATTGAATGATTTAATCAGAAGAAAGTGTTTTGAAGAGATGAAACCAACAGAAAACAACAAAACCCTTGTGATAGAGTTTCCGCTGATATTTGTTGGAGTGTGTCTCCTCCAGACAATAGACAGATGGGTTTTGTTTTTTAATCCAGTCTACTAATCTATGATGCTTGATTGAGCTTAAGCCATTTACATTCAGAGTTTAATATGTATGGGTGGAACTTTGGTCCTGTAATTTTAGGAATGGGTTGTTCATTGATTTAGTCTTCTGTTGTCATTTTACTGGGATGTTCTTCCCGTTTGCCTTTGGTTTTGGTAGGTGCTATTCCTCTTCTCTGTCAAGAGAACATCTTGAAGTATCATTTGTAGAGCAGGTTTGGAAGAGGCAAATTCTTTTAGCTTTTCTTTATTCTGGAAGAATTTTATTTCATTTTCAAAGATGAAAGAAAGCTTTGCTGGGTATGTTATCCTAGGCTGACAATTTTTTTCTTTTAAAATCTGGAATATGTCACTCCATTCTCTTCTTGCCTGTAGAGTTTCCTGTGAGAGATCTCCTGTGAGCTTAATTGGCATTCCTTTATATGTCAATTGATGTTTTTCATGTGCACATTTAAGGATCTTTTCCGTATGTTCAATTGAAGAGAGTTTGATAATTATATGTCTTGGTGAAGATTGCTTTTGATCAAGCCTGTTGGGAGTTCTGTGACCCTCCTGGATCTTGTTTCTCAATTCTTTCTCTAGATTAGGGAAATTTTCCTTGATTATTTCATTAAATACATTTGCAAGCTCAGCTTCTCATTCTGCACCTTCCAGGACTCCCATAACTCTTATATTTGGCCTCTTAATGGTGTCTTTCAATTCTTGAAGACTTTTTTTGGCCTGATCCAGCTCTGCTTCCAGCTTTTTGTTTGCTTCCCCCTGGTGGCAGGAGATATCTGCCAATGAGATTTTTTTCTTCTGCTTGCTTCATTCTATTTTGGAGACTCTCCACTGTACTTGTAATTTGCTCTACTGTGTTCTTAATTTCTGATATACCAGCCTTGATTTGCTTTACTGCTTCCTTAAATTCTTTGAACCCTTGCATGAGCTTCTCATTTTTTACCAGAATCTTCAAAATGAGTCTTATAGATTCTGTGTCCCCCATTTTCTCGATGTCTTCCTCAGTGAACTCTGAGGTTGGCATAGGGTTTTGCTCCTTTGCAGAGGAGTGCTCAGTAATATTCATTGTGCCTTTGTCTCTTCTTTTGCTCTTGATCATTGTATTTCTGGTTAGCAGAGTTTCTCCTTGGGGCAGGGTTCTAAGCTGTGTCACCCACAGGTCTACAATGTGATTTTACTTATTGCAGTTGGCACACGACCACGACTTTTTGCTTGCAGTCACTTGTGCCACAACCTCTAGCGAGTTCCAGGTCTGGGTTCTTATGTCAGATAACCACCGTGGTCTCCACAGCGCCAGCTCTTGGCTCACCACTCTCCACCTCCTGTGATACTGTGCTGAGGCTGCACTGTTGTCTCTACAACCTTTCTCCCTCTTCTGGTTGGAGTGGGTTCCAGGATTAGAGAGACACCATGTGTCCTATCTAGTTAGGTTGTTGGTGGTGCTGATCTTGTTGGAACCTGTTGGACGTTAGGTCTGGGTGCCACATGGACCTATTTTGACCGGTACAATGTCACAGTCGGTATTATTTTCCTGTGGGACCTCAACAAGCTCTCACGAGCTCAGCACATGCGCAGTTCTCTGCTGTCCCCACAGTCCCAAAGCTATTGCCACGGTGCGCAAAATGGCGCCCAACGTGCTACCACAACAGTTCTTGATCTGCTGGTAGTCAGATCCAGGGGCTACCCAGACCTGTCTTGGGTGGAACCTGTAGAATGCCACGTCGTTGCAGTTCACCGAGTCAGAAATGAGATCACTCCCTGCTCAGAGCATGCTCAGTCCTTTCCCTTGCCCTTTGCCTCCTTACGCAAAATGGCACCCAATTCAGCTCTAGGGGGCTGACTGGGCTATGAAATTCACTCTATTATTGCACTGCCTGAGATTTGCTGCTCTGTCTCTGCTCCTGGTCAAATCAAAGGGACCAGGAGGATGGGCAGTACTTTGTCTGGATTCACCTCCCAAGCTCCCAGTGAAAGTCCCTTCCCACCTGGTTGCTGGTGGAGTTCAGATCACCGTGCTGGAGTATCAGTCACTGCAACACCGCACTGCTGTGCCCGCTGCTTTCCTGTGTTTGTCAGTCTCCAGGTGCCCCTCTGCTGTTGTTCTGTCCTTTCCTATTTCCTGAAATATGTCCTCTCTGCTTCATCCTGATGAAATGTTTCTCCGTCTGATTAAACGTGTCCTTACCCTATTCTGCCATCTTGATTCCCCCCAACAATTGTTTCTTAAAATAAAAATTTAGAAAAAAAAAGAGTTAGTTTCATAAACAACTTTAAAATCTCTGTGAAAAAGTTACTTTTGTTTTCAATTTGATAAGTATACCTGTTTTTATCTCATGCCATACTCTGCATCTGTCATAATTATTCAGGTGATTATTGTTCGGATATGATAATGTAACCTCTAACTTTATTGCACTCAACAAATACCTGCTTAAACTTGATTGTACTAGTTAGTACACATGAACTCAATACCATTTTGTGTGAAAGGTCACAATGGGAGAAGGAATTTTGGTGTAAATGCTCTTAACTCCAGATCTGCTTACTGCAATTAACAACAGATTAAACCTCTGAAAACGAGTTTAACATTTGTGTGTGTATGTGTGTGTGTGTGTGTGTGCGCACGCGAGCCGCATTCTGAGTGGCACTTTGAACCAATTTTAATATCCATGCAAAGAAGGATGTTTTTCTTCCCATTGTCCCAGGACAGCCTTTTCAATATGTTATAAGGTGCTTCTGTCAAAATGGGAGAAGACTCTGAAACACCATAACAAACATGGTAATTGAATCCATAATACACTTGAGACATTTTTAAATCAAAAAAGAGTAAGAACCGTAACTGTGTGAATTAAGTACAGTGTTGTTTTGATTTGTGTAAATAACAGAAATGACCTGTTGTTCTTCCAGTATCATAAGCATTATGCAGCCACAGTAAGTAGAAAACAAGATAGAAATTTAGTCTAATTCATAGAGCCTATTAAATGTGCACAGGGTCTTTGAAAAGTTTGTAGGAGATGTGTATTTTTTAAAAAGACTATTTGCGATGCTAGTTTTTCTGTCTTTGCCTGTACTTACCATTTCATGATCTGTTTAAGTATCAAAAGGTTAATGTTGTAACTTTTACTAAGGAACTGTGCTGTTGTGATAATACGGGGAGAAATGTTTGGAGGACAAAATGTGAAAGAAGACAGGGAAGAGCAAGGATGAGTCCCTATATATATAAAACTGTTTCACGGAAAACAGAAAATCTACGTGTGGGTTTCAGATTTATTTGCGTCGGAATGAAACTTTCAATTCCAGTTTCCACGAACTCTTTGAAGTCTCCTTGAGCAATCCCTTTGTGCTGTGTCACAGTAAGAGCGAGCCCACTTCTTTGTGGTGTTGAGTTGTGGTTTCTCGAGGATGCTGCTTTGCCATGGTATCTGACTGCTGCGCATGCGCTGCTTGCTCTCTGCAGGCGCACCTATGTCGGCAGCATGCCCGGTCGCATCATCAATGGCCTGAAGACGGTTGGGGTTAACAATCCCGTGTTCCTGTTAGATGAGGTTGACAAGCTGGGTAAAAGTCTACAGGGTGATCCTGCAGCAGCTCTGCTTGAGGTAAGTTTTCTCTCCTCACACCTGAAGAGTATGGGTGAGAGTTGGTAATCCTACACACAGAATATGCACATTGGCTTACGTTTAACTACTGGGCAAAACCATTTTGACACAGACTGAAGTCTGAAGCAGTCTGATTCACTGTGACCTGGAAGTTTGTTTTTCACTTTATGCTAAGTCCACTTACTTACCTTTTTTTTCTTTTTTGTTTTGTTTTTATTAAATAATTGAACAAAATTGTACGCATGGTTATTATATGCAGACTAGCAATTCTACAAAATTATTACCAAAACAAATAAAAACAAAGACCTAGCAAGCAACTGCCAACACCTGAAGTTCTCCACTTCTTGCATACTTTACCTCTTGAACTTTTTATTGATTAGCTTCATGTTCAAAATAGTATGACTGTGTTACTACTACTTCTTGAGTTTTTATTTTTGAGCATTATCTATAGAATTCCATTTGTAGAAGATGGTGGCATGAATTTTGTTCCTCATGTATTATTTTTATACCCCATATCTTCCATTACAAATTTTATCTTTCATTATTATTGAATAATTATATTTGTTATATAACTGCTTTCCATAATGGAACCATGTGATGAATTTTTTTTTAAGATTTATTTTATTTGAGACACAAAAAGAGAGAGATGGAAGGAAGGAAGGAAGGGAGAGAGAAAGAAAGAAAGAGAAAGGAAGGAAGGAAGAAAGAAAGAGGGAAGGGAGGGGAGAGGAGAGAAGAGAAAAGAAAACAAGAAAGAAAAAAAGCAGCAAAAAAAAAAAAAAAGAGAGAGAGAGAAAAGAAAAGAAGCCATCCTGGGCTGGGCACACAAATGGAACCCTGAATCCCACTATCCTCCTTTGGCTGGTGGGGGAGGGGCACAGCTTGGTCTGGCTACCTACAGGCAGCTGTGCAGCCAGGACACCAACAGTGCCAGGCTTTACCAGCCGGCCACCCTATGATGAGCCCTGAGGACCTGGAGGAGTGAAATCACTGCCTTGGGACATCAATGGATAAGGCCACCATAATTGTAGGTGAGGAATGAATCCTGAGCAAGTCCAAATGACAGGGCCACTGTGCTTGCAGGTTAAGTGAGGAGACCGAGACCTGGTGGTTTGGAGGGGAGATACCAGAAGATCTGTATGGGTCAGACTCATGCACCAGCACACATTGGAGTCCTGAGATAGACTTGTTAGTGTGGAACATTGCTGCCACCACACTCCAGTGGTCTGAGTTTGAAAGCTAGGGCTGGGGGCCTGTCTAACAGAGCTAAATCCTGACCAAAGGTTGGAACAGGTGATGGGTTATATTAGGCAGGGCCAGGACACTAACCAGAAAGTGAGAGAAACAGGTCTGGGGGTAGATTCTGTAGGGGATACGTGGACAAAACCTGTCGAAATACAAGTCCAACTGGTTAGCTTAAGGGTTGGGGTGGTAATGGATTGAGCTAGGTATGACCAAGGAACCTGCCAATGCTCATGGGTCCTGGGTCTAGGAATAGGCTGGGCAGGTCCAGGCTGCAGCACCTGCATGTGCATCCTAAAAGAGAGTGTGGAGTGGGCCAGGCCACAACATTCACCAGTGGTTCACAGCACAATAAAGGCCAAGATGGAGAGGCAGGCTAAGCCAGGCAAGGGGCTAGCACCCACTGGCATGCATGAGGTCTGGGTCTGGGAGTGGGTCTAGTGAGGGAACTTGGGCAACTCCTCTGGTGGGTCATAGCTCCCGCTGGTGAGCACATGGTCCAGGCCTGGGACTCAGGCAAGCTGGGCAAGGTAGCTCCATCCATTGACAAGTGTGTGAATTGGTTTTGGAAGGGAGCAGACTGCAAAACTGAGCAAACCTTAGCTCATTGGCAAGTGCAGAAATCAGGATGGAGAGCAGGTCATGCTGGGTTAGGCTGTCACACCTATCAGTTTGCATGAGCCAAGGATGGGAGCAGACTGAGCAGGGCTGGGTTCCAGCTCCTGCCAGCAAGAGTTGGGACTGGAGGCAAGCTGGGTCAGAACAGGCTATAGCATCCAAAGGCAAAAGCTGACAGGTGACTAGGCCAAGCTGGGTCAGAGCAACCACTGGCTGGAAACAGGCCTGATTTGGGAGCAGAGGGGTTGCCCTGGCTGTGTTGTGGTTCCTACTGATGAGTGCGAGGGCTAGAGTGGGTGCTGCTATCTGGTCTGAGCATGGCTATTCGAATCTTTTACTAGATGTCTGGGAACTCTTGTTTGTGTGTTCCTATCTACTAGTGAGGAATAAAATAGCCAATTGGGAGCTGTGAGCAGAGGTATGGAGCTTCCTGACAGTTTCACAGCAGGGTTGGTCATGTGAGCAGTTTGGATTGATGAAATACTACATCTGTAATTTTAGATCGTTTCTCCTTGACTGGTCGGGTTGCCCAGAGAAGTCTCCCTAAGACTTGGGAAGGAGGGTAGGATGAGGGTGGAGGAGTGCCATGGCACAGCACTGGCATGTCTGTGCTCACAGGAACGTGTGTGCTTGTGCCCAGTGTTCCTGTGCTGGGAACCCTTGTTTAGTTATCAGTAGACCTGCAGCACGTTGTTGGGGGCACATGACTGCTTCGTGAAGGATACCTCCAGCAGTCTTCCTTGTCTTAGCATCTCTGTTGGCCTCCTAGACCCTTGTTAAAATGAAGTGTTCCTGATTCAGGTTGATTTGTAAAATTCAGAGGAAACCTGCTTTGTGAAAGTTTTCCTTTTTTATTCCCTTGCTTTGGGTTCCCTCAGCTTCCTGTTTCTCATCTGTTTTGCAGTCGTCTTCTTTTTTTTTTTTTAAGAAAAGAATGGCCTTGGATAAGTGTCTTAAAAGCAGTGATACTGTGCATTTTGATTGCCTGAAACAAAATCCCAGTTGCTACCTAATTTTTTTTAAAGATTTATTTTTATTATTATTATTTTTTTATTGGAAAGGCGGATATACAGAGAGGAGAGACAGAGAGGAAGATCTTCCATCTGATGATTCACTCCCCAAGTGAGCGCAACGGGCGGATGCTATGCCCATCCGAAGCCAGGAGCCTCTTCAGGGTCTCCCACATGGGTGCAGGGTCCCAAAGCTTTGGGCCGTCCTCGACTGCTTTCCCGGGCCACAGGCAGGGAGCTGGAAGGGAAGCGGGGCTGCTGGGATAGAACCGGCGCCCATATGGGATCCCGGGCGTGCAAGGCGAGGACCTTAACCACTGTGCCACCGCGCCGGGCCCGCTACCTAATTATTAATTGTATTTCCCTATATTTGTTTTTCAAAGATTTCTTTACTTATTTGTTTATTTATGTGAAAGAACAAGGGAGAGAGAGAGAGAGAGCCTCCATTTACTGATTCACTCCTCAAATGCCCAGAGTAACCCACACTGGTCTGAGTTGAAGCCAGGAGCCAGAAACTCCATCCAGGTCTCCATCATGAGTTAGAGGGGGAGGAACTTGGACTCTCTTTGCTTTCCCAGGCACATTAGCAGGAAGATGGTCCGGAAATGGCACTCAAACTGCCACTCCAATGTGGGATGCTGGTGTTACAAGTAATGATAGCCTGCTGCCCCTCACTAGGTACTAAAGAGTAATCTGTTAGTCTCAGAAGTGGGCTGTTAGGACAGTAAAAAATATAGTTTCTTAGGGTCAACCTGGTAGTGTAACAGAAAGCTTCCACCTGCGGTGCTGTCATCCCTTATGGGGGGCGAGGGGACCTGATTCGAGTCCCGGCTGCTGTACTTCCTATCTAGTCCCTGCTTATGGCCTGAGAAAGCAATGGAGGCTTGCCCAAGTCCTTGGTCCCTGCACCCACGTGAGAGACCCAGAAAGAAGATGAGATTTCTCTACATGAAAGCCCAACAGCTTGGAGTTAAGGGTTTGATTTAGAATGGTTTTTGTTTATTTTCATAAGATCATTATTTTCTTGCTTAGTAACTGACTTTCTCTGAAGTACAGTGCACCTGGAAGTAGTGAACATTATCCAAGATTTTAGTAGTTTCTTAGATAATATTTCCAAACTTAGAATATCTGAAGAATGGTCCCATGTAAATTATACTCTAATAGATTTTCCCAATAGACTGTTGAAAAGGATTTCAGAGTAATTCCTTAAAACCTAATCCCCCCCCCTTTTATTTTAAAGATTTATTTTTCTTGGGAAGTCAGATATACGGGGAGGAGGAGAAAGGGGAAGAAGATCTTCCGTCCAGTGATTCACTCCCAAAGTGACCACAATGACTAGAGCTGAGCCAAACCGAAGCCAGGAGCCAGGAGCTTATTCTGGGTCTCCCACATGGGTGCAGGGTCCCAAGGTTTTTGGGGCCGTGCTCAACTGCTTCCCCAGGCCACAAGCAGGGGGTTGGATGGGAAGCAGGGCTGCTGGGCTACTGCACTGGGCTCAAAACCTAAGTTTCTTAGCCAACTATTTGGGGTAATTTAGAATGTGAGTCCCTCTCCTCTGCTTGATAGTTATTTGGTAATATGTATTGATCTTTGATAACAAGTAGTTGGCATAATGCTATTTTCTTGCTTGATATAAAGCTCTTTGTATTAGCTCTTTTAGCAATGTTTTGGTTTTTTTTTTTTAATTACTACTCCAAAATTAAAGTATGAGAGCCTCAAATTGTCCCTCAGAATAAATGCTACCTGAGCCCCCTAATTACTGCTATAACTTAGTTATAAAGCATCAGTTTGTTGCAGACTGTGGTACTGTAGAAGGAAGAAGATAAGGTATGGAAGAACCAAATGTCTTAGTACTTAACATCCTCTTCCTCGCCACTTGCCCAGAACCTGCATAAAACCCTGCTACTTCACAAGTGGTTCAGACACTTCACAGCTGATGTACGTAAGCATGCTCTGTAAACTCTAGTGTATTCTACGTTAAAATAATCATGATTTTGATATATGTGTATTTGGTAGGCAGAGAGTGAGAGCGACAGATCTTACAGCTGCTGGTTCCTGCTCTGGTGCTCACCTGCAGGGACTGCATCTTGAGAGGACTTCTCCAAGCTCCCCTGTCAGGTCTTCCTCCCA